TCAGAGCCAACCAAGTCGACTCAAGTTAGAACACGCATCCACTCTGGCCTACCAACGAACCCCTTATCAAGGAAACCCTGAAGTTGCTCCTTCAACTCCTTTAACTCTGCTGGTGCCATATGATACGGTGCCCAGTACCAAATCAATACCAAAATCAACAACTTTGCCCAGCGACATGCCTGGCAGCAGGAAACACATCCAGAAAAGTTCCTCATTATTAGAACTGAATCAATATGAGGAGCCTCTGCACTGACATCCATCACGAGAGCCCAAATAAGGAGGACAATTCTTCCCAGCCACTCGCCGGGCCTTCGAAATATAAAACCACCCTACTAGAACATAAAATTCATCGAATCTCGCCACTCAATCTGTGGCATTCCCGTTATAGCCAACATCGCCGCCTTAGCGCAATCGCCCAGAATGACACAATGCTGAGACAACCAGTCTATACTCGATATCACATCTAAAATCTAACATACCAGGCAACAAAAGATCCACTCAGATCTCCAAACCCCGATAGTCACTAAATAGTGCCGATACACACGACCCACAACCACAACATAGCCTAAATATGAGAACTTTCCATCTCTAAATTGGCACATGAATCACCATATCCGTCCCAATTCCGCCGTCCGAATACATACCACACCTCCAATACCCAATCATTCCACAAGAGATACTCTAAAATTCTTCTGTGCCGCCATGCAAACTTAAATATCAGTAGTCGATCTAATAAGAAAGTGCCGCAATACTACCGAAGTACCATCAACTTAATCACATTGCCTTTTCTGAAATATATATACCCTCGCCAAATCACTCCAATTAGTAATACTATTTCCTTAATCATCTGAAGATCATTTTCCTAATTATCTGAAGCTCATTCCTCTAATTATTTGAAGCTGCTCGTTGCCTAAGAGTTTTATGACATTCCTTTCAGAACTGAACTGTAACCTTACACGCGCAATATCAATCCTCCACAACGTACCGCATATACCCTGCCATCCTAGGATAACATAAGAACTTCATATTCCTTCCTAGCCACAAGCAATTATGTACTCCACCAACCAAGAACTTTCCATTGTGCCCATCTGGAAGAAAATCACTATACATCACATGCTCCTCACGCTCGTGGAAAATATACACCTCTATCGGTGGTAGAAATCATCAAAACTCTCTGAATTCCTCTCGCACAAGACTGAACCGTCAGGACTGAATCCTTCTAACACAACTAAGCTATGCAGACCACTAGAACCCAAGGGCATCGCCGCGAAACACCTGTAGAAACTCATTACCCCGTACACACCCAAGGAATTAATCATATCCTTACCATACCGGTTCGGTCTACTAGCAAGCTATACCATCCATCCAGTCTTCCTTCTGATTTACCTTCAATTTGATAATCCTTCTTGCTATAACACTACAATTCCTCACCCCCGACTCACCACACGAGACCCAAGCATAAAATCACGTCGTCTAAGGCTCATAAGCCGCTGAATACTTTCTTAGATATTCCCCAAAAGCATCACGTTCAAAATACTTACCCTAAAGGGATCTCCTACGAATTCCGAGCCATTACCTTCACCTTCCTGATACTGATATATACAAGCCCATAATTGATATAGAAATGCCACAAATCTTGACACTCTCCAAATGCAAACCTCAGTTTCTAGCCAAAAATACAACCTGAAAATCTCCAATAACTACATGCAAAATCTTGAGCACATTAGAACCATTCCCGAGAGTCATCTACTCTACTCGAACCGCAACTATCCCGATCAACAGAACCGAACAACCTGTGCCTCATTAGCACTTCTGACACTGCAGCATGTAACCTTACCTTGATGCAACCAAGCCACTTTCTTTTCTATGCACCGAGCATTCTTTATCAACAACAACTCAAGACATTTAGTGATTCTCACACACATATGAAGCATGATATAACATCGAAACTATGAACTTTGAAATTCAAGCCAAAATCGCATCAAATTCAAGCCTATGAACTTTGAAATTCCTAAATTCCACCAACGACGCCAAAACTATCCAAAACAACTCTGATTGACCTGAAATTTTGCAGACATATCCAAAATGACATTACGAACCTGTTCCAACTATTGGAACTCTATTCCGACCCCAATAACCTATTTTCCACTACCGACCGGAAATCGCCAAAAACTAACTTTCGCCAATTCAAGCCTAATTCTACACCGGACATCACAAAAATATTCCGGACATACTCCTAAGTCCCAAATCACCTAACGAAGCTATCCAATCTATAAAATCCGCATTCTCAGGTCATTTACCAATAAATCAACTCTCGGTTGACTTTTTTTTTAACTCTAAAGCTACTTTTAGAGATTAAGTGTCTCAAACCTTACCAAAACCATTTCGGTTTCGATCTGACCAACCCGATACCACATAACACGGATAACCAAAGTATAAAGAAGCAGAAATAAGGAAAAACGGAGCGGTAACTCATGAGATGACTTGCCGGGTCGTCACAAGCGTAAATATTAATTTTCCAATATTACAATCCTATATTTCAAGGGGTTGTTTGTTTGAAGGGATAAGATAATAATCCCCAAATAAATATGAGATTATGTTGCTATATTTGACGGTATAAGTACCTGAAATTATTTATACTATATATATAATAACTATTTACATCTAATCCCTTTATTACGTCCAAATGAAACGTTGAAGTAATCTAACGGCTATAAATGGAAAGAGGATGGACTACTTGACTCAAAAGATAGGTCAACTTACCAAATTTCAAGTTTATAAAACTTAATTTAGAAGTTTAGAGGACGTTTGATTTGAAGTATAGAAAGAAATAATCATGGTATAAAAGTTGTACTATTAGGTATCTAATGTTTGGTTTATGTTTTCTATTCATGTATAGCTATTACTTATATACAGTTATATATCAATTTTAATATTTTCTTATACCTCCGGCTACATGGAATAATAATGCATGTATAACTTATATATGTATAAAACATCCAAAAGAACAAAAATTTCCCTTGTCTTTTCCGTAGATTTTTAGCGTTTAAACGTAAACTCATTTTTTTAGTTTACAGAATAATCACATAGTTTAAATAGTATTTTATATATCTAATGTTTAGTACAATACCAAACACCTAAATAATTTTTGCATTACTTGTCAATACATTATTATTATCTGCATTAGTAATTCCAACCAAGAGGTTGTGAGTTCGAGTCTCCCCAAGAGCAAGGTAGGAAGTTCTTGGAGGGAAGGATGTCGGGGGTCTATTTGGAAACAGCCTCTCTACCCCAGGGTAGGGGTAAGGTCTGCGTACACACTACCCTCCCCAGACCCCATGAAGTGGGATTATACTGGGTTGTTGTTGTTGTTGTTGCATTAGTAATTCCAGCATTAATGCCTACATGACTTGTCTTCAAACCAAATGACCTCTAAAACTCTAAGGGTCGTTTTGATTGGGTTTTAAAAAGAGAAATTTCATAAAGCACTATCTTTTAGTGATAATTAGCTTTCTATAGATACCATTTGCTATATTAGGGATTGTAGATACGTTTTCTGTTGTTATAAGATGTATTAGATGTATTTAAACTACTGTATTCATGAATACAGTAGCAAAAATAGGCGTGAATCAAGGAAGTCCAACTAATCAGTTGTTGTATTCGAGATATTCGATTGTATTCATGGCGTCAAACATGAGATTACAGCTGGACAGATTATTGTATTCGACCGTATTTACGGCTTGAAATAGGGGATTACACAATTTTTAAAAGGAAAGTAAATCAATTAACATAATAGACTCCTAATATAACTCAACAAACTCAATTATAACACACAATTTTTGTATTTTCAGTTATAAAAAAGATTCTCAACCGAAAAATATCCCAAAAGCATAGCAATCTTCTAAGAAATTATATAATACATCTGAATACATAAATTATATTAATTAAAAAAAAACATATGAATACATTCATGGCATATAACGAGACAGTGAATACAATGAAATACATAGAATATAAACGGATATATTGAAATACAATGAAAAAAAGACAGTGAATACAATGAAATACATGGAATACAGCGAGATACATTGAATTACAATGAAAAAAAAAGATAATGAATACAATGAAATACATTGAAATATATTAACAGAAAATCAAGTTGCTCAGCCCCAAACTCCGTCGTCTTTGTTCAAGAACAAACCCTAATTTCCGACGAATCCGCCGTCGAGCAAAAACCCTGAATCACTGGGGATGCAACTCTAACAATAACGTTCCTTTTCACCTTTCTTCTTTTCCCTTTTAGCCTTTTCTTTATCTTCCTCTTCTTTCTTTTTCTGGTTTGAAGTATTCGGGTCGGAGGCCATTTTCACAACCTTGAGAAGGTCAACTTCCTTGTGAGGGAGAGTGTCCATACCATGTGGTCGGACGGAGATATCTCCGTTAGAGTTAACACAGAAATAAGGAGCTCCCCACCCATCGACCCCGTACAAAGCAGAGGAAAAATCTGGAGACCAATCGGAAGCGGCAACGGAAGATATTTCCTTTTAGTCTCTGATTTCTTTTTCTTTTGAATTTTCCACAGCTTTCTTGATCATCAATTCTTCACTGCAGATAAATTGTGAAATTCTTCACTGAATCTCACATGGAATCCAGGCAAAACCACCGTCTGTGACTAATGGTAGGTGACGTGGGTGAGAGAAATTTTGAGATTGAGCATCATGTTTTCAGGGAATGGGGAAAGAGAATGACATGTATCAAAGTAGAGAGAGAAAGAAATAGTGTAACTGAATAGTGTATTTAGTGGCTTAGGGGTAGGAGGTAACCAAAATTAGATATTTTGCTATAAACATTAAAAGGTATCTATAGAATATATTTTTTTTAAATGGTATTTATTTAAAATAAATAAGGTGTTAACCTTTGCTATAGGAGGTAAAAAATTCTTTTAATTAAAAATAACTTAATCTCCATATAATACTCAGTATTAATTTATACAAAATTTGATTGTTACTTTTATTTTTTTCATAGATAACATGTATATGTTATGCGAGAACCAAAGCTAACCCTCATGGTTGTAACAAACTTTAAACATATACATTACTCCATACATTAAATACAAATTTATAATATGCCAAATTAAACATTCCACAACAAAATAATTTGTTTTCTTAGAGGTATTAGAAAACATAATGCAAATATTAGTGTTGTGCATTATTAATTCCCTATTTGGTATATTTTTTCAACCTACGCATAATTAATATTTATATTAGTTATACATTCTATGTAGTATTATCCTAAGTATAACTAACACATAGTAAATTATGATACTAGCAAGGCAAGGATTTTAATACTTGCCTAACAACGGTAAAGACATAATTGCCCCTCAAATCTCTCAAAACTTATTCCAAATACGTTCTGCCATATTCTGTAATTGTCATTTTGACTACACAGGATCGTTATTACATTTTACTATTTTAATACTGATGAAAAATATTTAAAAAATATCTGGTGTTTGTTTAGTACATGAAAAACATTTTCTGAAAAAATTATAAACTAGTACTAATCCTTGTATAATTTGTCTTTAACCAATTTACCCAAACGTACAAATCAGGTAAACCACGTGTACATTTCCCTAATAACCAAACAGAAAATACAGTAAAAAATGTCAGAAGAGTCGATGCAAGTTTTGGACAACAATGGTTAGATAACGAAAGCAAAAAATTACATACAATGTACACTACACAGTAAATAAAGCTTTAAAAAAAAAAAAAATTAATTTACCCAAAGTCGTTACACACATATTTAGGTACAGGGGAAAGAAAATAGACCCAATTAGATACAGCAGCAATCACAAAATCTGAAAAAAAAATCTGCTTTGATAGATTCAAAGATCTAGTGTATATATATACAGTGAAACTGGACTTTTCCTCCATATCTGGCTAAATCTATCTCGGTCATATACTTGTGTTGACTCATTAAGTACTAGTTTTGGTTCAGATTTTTATTTTTTTATTTTTTTTGGTTCGGATTTGGGTTGAGTTTATATTTTTGGGATGTAATGGAAGAAAATAACACAGCAGCAATTCATACAGCTATAAATGCAGTGCAATCATTAGGAAGGGGATTTGATGTGAATTATGATACAAGATTGCTATATTGTAAGGGGGTGGGTGGGTCTAGGGTTGTAGAGATTGATGAAGAACAGCAGCATACAAGGGATCTTTGTTTATATGATAACGTAGTGCTGCCTAATATTTCAAGGGATATTAAGAATTTTCAGGAGCCTGGTGGTCGAGATGGTTCTAGTGTTTGCAATTATAATGAGGTATGTCTGCTCACCAAATGGCTGTTTTTAGTGTTTGAATTTATTAAGTTAGAGAATTGTTGGTTTTACTGTTTTGTTATATCAATCTAGTGATGCTTTCTGCTAGTTTCTTTTCCTTCCATTTTATGTGACATTTTTGATTGGATACGTTCCACACCCCACTTGTGGGAATTTACTGGGTTTGTTGTTGTTTGATTGGATACGTTATTTATGAAAGAAAAGACTTTTGAAACATATCTCATTAAGGGTGAAACGAGAATTTTAAAGTTATATTGTTTCTAAATGCGGAATAGCGTTATTATTTTGGACAAACTAAAAAGGAAATTGGAGTAATTAATTGGGTATCTATAAGCGGGAGGAAGAAGAAAAGAAGGGTCAAAATGGTAAGAGTTGCAATGACTCTAGCTACAAGCCTAAAACCTTTTGTTTTGAAGGAATAGTCCGAGAAACTTTGTGCTGGGGCTGGATTGTGCTTGTTGCCGCATAGGAAAATGCTGAGTCTGGAGTACGTGAAGCAATCCTCAACATATTGTTAGTATTCCAGTGCTGGAATTTGGGAGGAGTGGGTACCAAAGCTATCAAAGGAAAGGAATACCTACAAGTTTTACAGTTTTATATGAGCAGGGAGTATGATGGAGGTTATTGGGGAGGGCCTCTCTGTGAGAGGACTCGAGAACAATTGACTGGTTTTTGACGAATGGTGTGCCAATTGTGGCGGTTTCTCCATTTTTCTTGTTTGAATTATTAAGCTCTGAGTGTGCCGTCTTTACTCTAAGCTAGACCAGATCATTCCCTCTTAAAGTCTAAACTTTTTTTAGCATGAAGAGACTGCACATTGGGGATAGAGATATGAAGGGATGGAGGTGAACTGTAATATGCTAATCGTAGTACAGAGTTTGAAGATCTACATTTGCTGGAGGGTAAGATTAGAGCTGGCACAAAATTTTTGTGATAAGAATATCCCTTGTGTTATAAAATCGTGCTTGGCTTGAATGTATGAAGGAATTTATAATATATCCAAAATTTATATAAAACTATAGAAAAATTAGATCACATGAGAAAATAATAGAAAACAAAACGAAAGTTGAGATGGGGATGAGAAGCGAGATGAGTGAAGAGACGGAATGCAAATACGTTAGTAAAAGCTTAAATATTTACGAGTATTGAAAAGAGAAATGCTGGGCTCTTCACCTATCAATTTGGATGCCCAAATCATTTAGGAAGGTATGTGTGTTCATGTGGGCTTTGGCTGGTAGCAAAAGGGGCAGCCCTAACAACTGAAATTCTAATGAAAAGAAGGCATAGGTCTTGCTCCATGTACAAACATGGATCATTAGGGCATTGCCCGGTTGCAAGCTAGTTGTGGCGGTACTGAATCTATTTGTAATACAGCAGTCAACGTTGACTACAGGTAAGGATGTGATGTTTAACAGGACTTTTATAGAGAGAGAAGGAAACGTAAGATATAGTGCTTTGGAGGAAGAGGGATAGGAGAGTTTTTGAAGGGGCAGAGACCAAAATTTTCTTGTCGAGGGAACGTTTTTCTTTCTGTTAAGTTTTGGTGCAAAAGAGAAGAAAAGAAACTCAAGTAGTATGCTTGGTTTATGGGGTTCTACCATTGCAGGGCCCAAATTCCATTCTCCCGTTCTGTGCTAGTCATCATTTCAGGTTTGGTAGTGGGGGGATACGGTTGGTTTCAATCGAAATAAAGATATGTTGTTGACCTTCTTTTTCTCTTGTCGGCAGGATTAGCCAATCTCCTTGTTTGTAAGGCCCTTCTTGTTAGTATAGATGATTGGACGTCTTTTGTAGAGAAACATATTTTTGTGTAGGTTTTCAGCTTTCCGGAAACCATTTGTATACTAGGTTTTTTCCATAACAAAAATATTATTACTTAATTAAAAAAGTTGCAGATAAATGTGCCCATCTTGTAGAGTGTTGACCAGCACAATAAGAAGTTCTCTCTTTTTCATTCTATTTTCACCATATGCAAGTACTTGCCAAGTCTTCTCCATCAACTGGTTTCCAAATGTAGTTCCTGTTTTTAGAAATGGTTCTCCCTTCTGAACCCTGCCAAACATCACCATCCGTTTTTTTTTCTTTTGAAACAACCATTAAATTTAAATGCAACAAATCTTGCAAATATTTGCTGGATTATAATGTTTCGACGCCTTTTTGTACGTTTGCATTATTTTACTTGGTAGTTTTCAAATGTATAATTAGTATTTAGTTCACACTTCACAGTGATATCTTCCATGTCTTTGTTCATCTGTTTTTTTGGTAAAGGGTCTTCGTTGGTCTGTGTGTTCTAATGCTGGTGCAAGTTTCTGTACTTTTGGTTAACCTTTTGCTTTTCCTAATTTTATTTAAAAAATAATTTTATCATTTCTCTTATAACTTATCCTAGTGCTTTTGACTGCAGATGGTGGAATTTTTTAACAGAAAGGCTGATATTTCAAGCCATTCTCCTCTTGGTAGCTTCAATGTAGCATTCAGTTTCACTGGTGCGAAGCATTTAGATGCTACCACTACAAAGACACTTTGTATGGATGGCTATTTCATACCACTTTCTAGACTTCAACTCATGAATTCACCGCTAGCCTTACAGGAAAGTGTTAGAAGAGCTGTCCCAGCATCATGGGACCCACCCGCATTAGCGAGGTTAGAATCTCTCATTGCTTTTCTTTCGACAAGTGAAATTTGTTTATATAGTTGACATGCTAAAAACTTTTGGTAGAACCTCTATCATTCGCTAAAAAGGGGCTACCTCTGTCTGTTACAGCTTCATTGAAACTTTTGGGACTCACATAATTACATCCATAACTATCGGTGGTAAAGATGTAATTTACGTTAAACAGCACCTTTCATCACGCCTGTCCACAATGGAAGTAAAAAGTTATGTTCATGATATCGGAAATCAGAGGTTCTCCAGCACAGAAAGCCTTACAAGTTCAGGTCTATTGAAATACAAGGATAAGGCTAGTTCCATTATTTTCTTTGTTTTCAAACTTTAAGTACCATTTTGTATGGTTTGCTGTTTTTTACTTATTTAAGAAATGGTTATTCTAGACTGTTTCCTTTCAAATAAATTGCTTATCTTTTGTCTTCTGACGCCTTCGCTATCCACAAATTTCCCATCCTTTCCTCAATTTAATTTTGCAGTCTAGCGATCCATCGATATTCAATAGCCAAGGAATATATCCCCAACCCACAAATGCTCCATATATTGCTGGGAATGGAAAAGAGGTTTGTGACATTCCTTTTCTTTCCTTCTGGTTTTTATTACTTTTTGAATAGGAGCAAAAGTTATGTGTGATCTATTCCACTACTAAGGGGTAATTCACGAGAGAAATGTCATAAAAGTAATGCTCATTTGAATATCAAGAAGGAAGATTCTTCTTTCTCTTAAGGCTTAATACATAGTTTACCTCCCTGAGCATGTAGCAAAATCCCTTTTACACACCAAACATTTCCCAAAGTGGTGTGTATTAGACACACTTTGTGAAACATTTGGTGTATAAAAGGTTGCCTGTGAAGGAGGGGTGTGTAAAAAGGATTTGGCTACTCGGGGGTAAACTGTATGAGGAACTAAGGAACAAAGGTGGGGAGAAGTTATTCCGACTTGCTGAGGCGAGAGAGAGGACAACTCGGGACCTGGACCAAGTGAGGTGCATAAAAGATGATGACGGCAAAGTTTTGATGGGAGATGACCAGATTAAGAGGAGGTGACAAACCTACTTTCATAAACTTTTAAGTGAAGAAGGGGATCAGGATATTATACTTGGGGAATTGAGGAATGCCGACGGTCACCATGAATTAAGTAATTGTAGGGACATTGAGATCGATGAAGTCATGGAGGCAATGCGTAAGATGAGAAGGGGCAGAGCTACCGGGCCAGACGAAATTCCGGTTGAACTGTGGAGGTGTGTGGGTAGAGCAGGCTTGAAATGGCTTACTGCATTGTTTAGTGTTATATTCAAGACTAATAGGATGCCTGAAGAGTGGAGGTGGAGTACAATGGTCCCGTTGTATAAGAACAAAGGTGATGTCCAGAGCGGTAACAACTATAGGGGCATCAAATTACTAAGTCATACCATGAAAGTTTGGGAGAGAGTGGTAGAAATGAGAGTG